AATAATATTACCACACCATTACAAAAGTTGTTCATAATATTAACATTATTGATAACTGCAAACAGTTACACTTGAAATTTCTTTGACAATTGCATTGTAAATATTACAGCTAAAACACATACCTGGCCCAAAGCTAAAGGAATAAGCAGCAACAAAACATGCAAGTGATATCAATGAAATCACTTTTGCTGTAGTGCTCACTTCTTGCTTACTGGATGTTTCAGTGTCTGTCATATTTAAACTTTGGTCCCCAGTAACCAACGTGATATTCCATACAGTGGCCATATAAGGAGTAGCGCCATCCAGGGATTCTGGTGGAGGACTACTTGTTGTAACAGTTTTGAAAGGGGTTAAAGTTGAATACATTAAGTTGATGTCCCTTTTTTCTCTTTTTAACAATAAAAATCTAGAGGTTGTATTCATCAATGGATTATTGGTAATTGTTTCTTTGCGTGATACAAGTTCTTCCGACAAATTTTTGGTTGAGTTATCATTCTGTAGGTGATATGGAGTGACCTGGAATGGAATATTTTTATTGGACTCATTAATAAATGAGCAAAGCACATATTAACCGAAGAGAAATTACTTCATGCTGCATCTAATAAAAAATAATCAGTAATTTATTTATTTATTCAACATGCTTTATACTGGAAGGCACGCTCAATGCAAAGTCACTGGTTTTCATTGTGGTCTAATTAAAACATAAAAATACAAAAGCGATTGAAAAATTTAACAAAAGGACTAAATTACAAAAATAGAGGTGAGACCCATTAATTGAGAGCATTTCTAAAGGTATATTAAAATTCTAGAAATCCCTAGTTATGTTGCTAGGTAGTTGGTTCCAGTTCATGGATGCTCAATAATACAAGGTCTGTTTTTCTTGACATATGTTCCATTCAAGTTGAAGATGGTGAGGATGATAATGATGATGATAGTGATCATAACGATGATGATTGAGATAATGAAATGTGATGATTGATAATAATGATGATGGTAATGATTATGATGATATTGCTGATGATAATAGTATTAATAATGATGATGATAGCAATCATTAAAGACTGCAACTGTAAATACAAAAAACTCATATATATAATTTAGGATTTTAAAAAGCTTGTGTCGAAGCAAAATATGCTGCTGAGTATTCTTCACTCTTTACTAAACAATTAAAATTACAAATAATCTGATGTATTTTCCCAAGATAAAAAAACAAAAACATTATACAAATATAAACTTAAACTACAGTATATTAAGCTTTGTCTACACTATCAAATTTTATGTGACAAAAAAATGTGATGTGTCTATATATGGGTACGATGACATCAAACCACATATTATCAAAGTGTATCTAAAAAAGTTGAACATGTTCAAATCTATGTTTCGTCACATTTATTTTATGCGACTTCTTTTTTTTTTTTTTTTTGCGAACTTTAGACGGGCTTCTTTTTGAGATGGGCTTCTTTTCGAGGCTACTTTTGCATAGGAAAGAGGAGGGCTTTTTTTCAAAATAAATGCTGTAAATTTTGTGAATTACTATATATAAAACAATAAATACAACCACTGGAACATCAATCTGTATCACAGACTGTACTTTTACCTGACATAAAATCACCTAAACTACTGTATACACCAAGCTTGTTTTTAATTTATTTGGTTTTTTGAAATCCATGTACAGTGTATATACTTTACTATCTCGAAAAGAAGACTATGCTATCTTGCAAAGAAGCCCATGAGCTTCATTTCGAGGCTAATTTTTCAAGCTAAAGAGGGGGGGCTTTAATTTGAGATGGACTTCATCTCGAGATTAAACCCAGTGGGCTTCAATTCATGGTTTTACCTGTATATTGATGTTAGAAGAAAAGGTACACCATAGGAAACATGGTGTTGACTTACAGTACCTTCTATAACCATCTCCTAATATAATGAAGCATAAACTTTAAGCAAGATATATTATAATAAAAGTATAAGAATACATATAATTTGTAAAATTTAGCTTACCTCACATGTTATACCGAGAACCAAAATGGACACCATCATGCAAGTTACACCACACAAAAGCAACTTACGCCTTCCAATACTATCGACAAGTAAAAAGCAGAGGGCGGTACACAGAAATTTGATAGTGCCAATACCAACTGTTGCAGAGGTTGCAGCCACATTGCTTTCAAATCCAATTTGTTGCAGTATGGTGGGAGCATAATACACTACATTTGTTTGGCCTGTAGCCTATGAAAAATAAATATTATTAAATATGGTATAGTTCAATCAAGGCCCATCTATGCACTGTCATTATTAGTACAAGGTTGTCTTTAAGATACAGTAATTAGGTATGTTTCCATGAAAGGGGTGTCAATTATCCAGTTTATGGAGATCGGTCGTACATAGATATTAATATGTTTGTAAAGATGTACGATGATTGTTCAATTTTTGGGTTAAGCATCCTCTTTAAGATCTTGTTACCTATTGGGGTATTTTCTCTTGATATTGGTACTTGTGGTAAAATAAATATACTGGAAGGGGTGTTTTCCCTAATGGCGTTCAGCTGGTAGGTTTGCCTCATGCATGCCCGTTCTGACCACATTATAATCATGTGACAATGATGATGTTTATTACTGAATTACCTGTTGTAAAAAAACTAGACCTCCTCCAATTAAAATACGAATACGCAAGTTAGCTTTTGTCTTGAACAGATCAGTGAAAGAATAGCCCTGCAAAAACAATAGAAATACATTTTTTTACATACATTTTAACAGTAAGATTAAATGCATGACTATTATTATTATAGTTTCGTGTAGACTTTGTAAAATTAATGGAATTTTAGCAGTGGAAGAGGACGCTTATATCCAACTACATTGTTTGATTTTAACAGTGTGGTAAGAAACAACAAAACAGACAAGAAGACATTTCAAAAAAGTGTCAGAGATTAGGGAGGAGAAGGACATATCTGGGGTCCCAAGTTGGAAGAAGTCAATTCTGGGAGATGTGCAATGTTGGATCCAAGAATTCTTCTTTTTTTTTTATGTCTATCACATAAAACTTTCATACTTAAATTTGAATATCATTTTCTTTTTTCTCCATCTTATTTAATAATTTTGAAAAATTTAGTGGGAGATTTCCCTCCTGAATCCACCACTTAATGAGCTTACGTAACATTTAATTGTTATTATTATATTTTGCTGCACATTGTGATACCTACCGGCACTGACTTCCCTGAGACAATTGACAATAAAGCAATGAAAACATGTAAATATTATGAATTTGCGGAATATGGGTTATTTCCGGGAGATTTTGATTGCTTGCGGTTTCCAGACTTGGGACCCCTGACATGGATAACTGAAAGATTGTAATTATATAAAATTATTTTTTTACTTACATCCTCGATAGCTAATCCAGCTTTCATGCCGTTTATCTCAGCACTGACATCCGTCTGGTTGCGTAGTTTCTGAAGAACACAAGTTGCTTCATCAACTTTGCCACGCATGATAAGGAACCGTGGGCTGGACGGCAATATGACCATACCACAGCCTTGTACGATTGCAGGAATGATAGAAATGCCAAACATGAAACGCCTGTGAACAAATGCAGTGATCCTATTTAAAATCCTAAACTAAATATAATCAGAACGCCATTCTAAAACCAGCATACTGGCGCTAAAATTTGTTAAACTGAGTAATTAGTATAGGAATGTGGTAGTATTGTATACTTTAGGACAGAGAAGCCAAAATACATTTACTAATAACTATGGCAATAGTAAGTCGAATCCAGTAAACGACGCAATCAAAGCTTACAATGTGGAGAATAAGAAAATATTGTTTTCGTCACTGATGCTAATTTTGGGATGGTGAGCCTCATATCTTATAATTATTAAATAGTTTCTGTTTGAAAAAGCAGTGTTATGATGATATTTCTGCTTTTTGCTATTGATTGAATAAATGTGATATTGATTGATTGATTATTTCTCAAGAACAAAAATATAATGAATCAATATTTGTTTACAGTGGTAAATGTAACACTGGTAACTATAGTAGTCACAGTAGTTTATCAGTACACAAAAAACAATTTTACCAATGGAAAAAAAAAATTATATTAAAATATTTTAGTATATTAATATTGTAATATTATTATTAATATTGTAATATTATTCATATCACAATATTAATATCAAAATACCTAAAGATGATAATATTGTTAATATTAAATAGCACATTTCTTTTTTGGTTTAATATAGTTTATTTTTTATATGTTATAATGCCACACATTTTAGTTAATAGCAATACACACATAAATAACTGCTTTTATATATATTTACCATCCATGTTCGACTGAAATAAAAATGTAACTGACAAGGTAAGCCAGTAAAATGCCGACTGTTATGCCCAATTCATATAGTGACACCAATTGACCTCGGAGATTCTGAAAAAATAAATGGAGTAAAACGAATGGTAGTTTATCTATCAGCTTATCAATAATAATACTTTCTCATAGAATTTCATCTCATGGGTTCAATATTAATATATACATGGGTATTATTTTCATCAATGGTAAAACCTCTGAAAAAAAAATGGAGTAAAACGAATGGTAGTTTATCTATCAGTTTATCAATAATTATACTTTCTCATAGAATTTCATCACATGGTTTCAATATTAATATATACATGGGTATTATTTTCATCAATGATAAAATCACTGAAGCATAAAGGAGGACACTTTAAAATCAAGATGACATTTGCATAATCAAGGCTACCGATGTTACAGTATCAGCTGATTTGCAGTGGTTATAAAGCTCTATTACATTGGCTACTCATTGAATTAATGCCTGTAAATAAAATTAATTACAATATTAATACTGTACAAGAAAGCTACCAAACCTATTAAATCTGACTAAATGACTGAATCGACAGCTTATTATCCCATTCAAAGAGTGAATCAAATAAATGTTCTACCAACAGTAGAAATGAATGTAGGATTTGGCAGTTTTGGAAAAAATAATGAAAAACTATCAACATTAACTGCATTTTTCATTACACAGCCAACAGAACATTATCTTTCGAGCTTAGCATTACAGTGAGACAGTAACTGTAAAAAGGAGTTAATTAGTAAATTTCCCTGATGAAACAACCCTAAAAGAGTACTAAAACAGTAATTTTAGGGAGCTAGTCTATCATAACAGCAGGGAAGATTTTATTGCCTAATATTTAACTACTACATGAGAGAAAGATTAAAAAATACTTACAGAAGGGGACACCTCTGATATATAGATACATTCACCAATGGCAGATAATGCCACAGCAAATCCAAGAATTAAACGTCCAAAATTCTATTAATAAAGAGAAAGAATGACGTGGAATTATCAATGTCTGCTCCACCTATGGTAAAAGGTAGGGTTTAACATAAATATCAAATACGATAAATGAATTTGGAATAAATCAATAATTTTAGAGAACTGATTAAAGTAATAAAATACTTTAATAATGTAGCTTACTGTAGCCATATTTCTCAGAATTGGAGGTCCTCAGATAAATGTTTTAGGTATTGGTTGCCAATCAATCTAGCAACTGCACCTTCGATAATTATCTAGCACTTAGAAGACAAGGTAATCCAATATACATCATGAACTACACCTGCCGACTCTCATGCATTATGCGTGAATCTCACATATGAGCATCTATTTATTATTATATTAATAGATTTATTATTTGTACTTTATTAAGGAGAAATTATGTTCAATTGGTTTTGGTATAAATTGGTATGAACAATATTTTGAGAACAATGTGGCTTTTATATCTGAAATAACTACTCGTCTAACTGATATTGAACGTCAAAATTTTCATGAACAAATTCATTTATTTTCCAGACTTAAGTATTATGTGACATTTAAATATAATTATACAATCGAACTATACTTAATGCATATACAAAATTTTAATTATAGACGTATTCTTACTAAGTTGCGTTTAGGAGTCCTTGAATTAGAAATTGAAACTGGTAGATGGTCAAAAATTGATAAAAAAGATAGATTATCCAAACATTGTACATTAAATTTAGTTGAAGATGAGTACCATTTTACTTTAATTTGCCCTTGTTACACTGATATTCGTAAAAATTATATATTCAAGTATTTTATTGTTAATCCATCCAAAGTTAACTCAATTAATGTCCACTACTGATATCAATACAATAAGTTGTTTATGTAAATTTCTTTATCACTCATTTAAACGTAGAAGTGATCATTCCCTCTGTAAATAGCTATTATATTTTATTTGGGCCAAAGGTCTTATATAAAAGTTGAAATAATTGTCCTTGGCCAATACGTGCCAAGGAACGGAAACGATTTATTAGGTCTCGCGTCTACGTTATCTCGCACATCATAAAAAGGTTTATAAAAGATAAAATGTATAGGTCAAACCAAAGTGAATTCATCAGTAAAATGTGAATACAGGCTATATAAATTTCTTCTAATGAAACTATACCAACCAACAACAATAATCCATAGCAGTTCCACTACAATTTTTATAAATAACACAGAGGGTGCTGTATTTCATGATTATTACATAGAGGGTGCTATATATAATTTTTTTTTGTCTCACACATTAGACACCAACAAAGGTGGCAGGTATACATAAACTGATTGAAAATACATTTCTTCTCAACTACAAAAAAATATTATTTTGTATGCCTCTATTGTATACATATTTTTTACTATGGATTTTGGTGATATCTTTATTTACTGTATATATGTGTCATAAAAGTGTCATCTTTACCAAAGCAGTGAATGTTGTTGCGCAGATGAGAATAAGGCCACCAACAGTAAAGACAATTGAGTTAAATATAAGAGAATATCTTCTACCAAATGCATCGACTATACATCCTGTTAGAAAAAACAAAATAAGGAAAATATTACTTAGAAATATTTTATAAACAATAGCATAGACTCACACAAAAATCATAATGCTTGTAAACATGGCCTGGTAGAACACCACTACAAAATTTCCTTATTATTATCCGCATATTATATACACACTACAAACGAAAAGGTTATAAAGATTTTATCATTTTTATTCTATATATGCAAATGTGCTTGGATGAAATAAAGAAATAAGTAAATGAATGAAATTATATTATTATTTTTGTACAAACAACATAGAAAGCTAATTTAAAATGATCAGCATATTGGAAATTACTTTTAACTAAATCTCTAGCAACAAGCCAGGAAATGAATACATTAAATATATCTCAGTTAATACACCTTAGGGACAAAAACAATATAAACAATGGCTATCATATTCTCTTTGGTAAAGTGTATGAGTCAATTATATTTACTGAACATATGTTTAAAATGTCTGCAGGCATTGGTAAAATTTCCCTAGAGGGTGTAGTTAGTAATGCGGTATCCATTAGAGTCATCATGCACCCAACTCCCATTTGGTAAGTCCGTATACAGGTTTATATTACAAATTAAACCATATGTTTATGTCAGTTATAAACAAACTTACACCAAGTTTGCAGTTAAAAATGCTATGAAATAATGTACTGCAGTGGAGAACAAAATACCAGATCCCTACCTTGTACACATAACTTCATGGTATACAGTGTTTTGGAATGTCCATCAATGTTTACATATTTCATTCATTTTGGTTTTATTACAAATTAAACATCAAAATTCAGTAAAATTACAAAAGTTGCTTTAACTTAAATTGACAAACAGTGAGCAAATGTGAAAGAGCTAAAACTACTGTACAAAATTTGAACTTCCAAATTGTTGTATAAAGGTTCTACTGTTCTTTTTCATATATTTGTTTTGAAATACCTAATTTTAAAAATAATTTTAAAATATTTGCCACTGCAAACTTAGTAGGGGGGCCAGCGCACGCAAACCTCGCAAGGCTCTGCTTTGCTAAAAGAACGACACAAAGGGCACTCCGAGTGTCTATCGAGTTTGACACTCGGTTTGGGGCCCCCACATGCCGAGCACAACGACTTGCGAGCCAACATAGCGAACGAAGAGACTACAAAAGGATATGTCGTACAACAACTTCTTGAAAATAAAATCCACTTCCAAGGCAGAAAAGTAAAAGTCCAGAATTCTTCTCGCAGTAGCGAAAACATGAGACACGTGGTCCAGCACTTTGTGGCTAACAATACACAAAGGAGGTTCTCTTTCAACGAACGTCGAATAGGGAATGAGGACGTTTGAATAGGGAGACGGTTCGTTTGTGGTGCTACGGGTCGGACTGTTCCATTTTATTTCGAAGGGGTGTTCCATTTTGGGAACAATGGCAATTAGTCGGTTTATCCAGGTAAGTAATAGACGTAATAGACACCTAATTTTTTAAATAATTTTAAAATATTTGCCTATACAATTCACTTTTCAAATTTCACTGTAAGAAAAAAGCAATCCTCTCCCCACCCCACCAAAAAAATCTCAAGACGTTTGTTATAAAGAAAAAGAACAACATTCACATATTACTATACCTCATAAATAATAATTAGGTAATAGCAACATTTCGTCAGTCAATTCTCTCACCCTCCCCACCCCCAAGTAAGGGGTGCGGTAGTTTCTACTACTTCGATATGCATGCCAAATTTACGCATACACGGTGAGACTTCCGCATCCTTACCTACTGTATGTGAACTGTATGCAAGCTCTTTTAATTTTACCCCCACAAATCAAAATGGCTTATGTAGACTGACGGTTTGCTGTTTTTATGAGGTGCGGAAAACAAATTTAACACAACATTTCAGCTCAAATCATGTTGTATTTGTATACTACAAGGTGTTTCTTATTGGTACATACCACCCACGAGTGATCCAATTAATGCCCCCATCAGCATTGCACATATTACAACTTCCTGTTGAAAGGAACTGAGGCTAAATTCATCCCGCAACTGGAGCATTGCACCAGCAACAATACCTGTACAATATAAAAATGGCCTCTGATTTATTAATTTTTATGTATTTGAATACTATATTTTATATTTATTTTTTATTACTGCATGTACAATTTTTTTATATTTTTAATATGCAATGAATTGTTTCCGCTCTGCTTTTCCATTTTAAAATTGGACAATAAAATTGAATTGAACTGAATTAAATTGAATAGTACTGTAACTATTTTCTCTATGAATAAGCATAGTTAAAATGAATAAATAACACAATAAAGACACAAGCATGTCTTTAAAAACAATTATTTACGATGACGTATGACCTATGATAGGCCTACTGAACTACTGGAATACATGAGATAGGTAGCATGGGAATGGACATGTTAAGTGCCACACCAATATTTTTTTATAAGCGCCACATTGATGCCTCCAAAAATGTTACAAATGCTGCGGAGCTTATTCAATTTGGGGGTGGGAAGGTGTCTCGAATTAGAGGACAAATTTTAATCAATTTCTGCATTACTACAATGGGTATTAGTAGTATTATAATATACTGTAATAGTTTTTAATCTATTTCAGAATATTTTAATGGTGATATTTCTTATTTTAAATTATCTTACTGAATTGTTTTTCTTCAACTTCTATAAATAATCACTTTCCAAAGATAACAATTTCAAAGTAAACCTAAACATGATATTTCTTTACATAGTCATAACTGCCACGAAATAAATAAATACAATAAAATACAAAAAGTAACACCACATATATTAAATAAGAGTGCACTTCACTTGCCAATGTCATAACCAAACAGTACCCCTCCTAAAGTTGATATAAGAGTAGCAAGGAGAAGCTGTGGGGTCATTTTAGCCTGGTTATCCATGGCTGTATCAGTAGGCTGTTCGGATCTCTCTTGCAATCCAAGCCTCTCCATGGCAAACTCATTGTGCTCTGCGCTTTCATCGTCCATGTCTCCTTGTGAAGATAGCAGGTTCACTAAAAAAAAAATAAAACAAGTTGGATTGACATCTGTCTAGTAATAATAATACAGGAATTTATGCTGTGCCTTTTGTGAAGGAATACAAAGCGCAATACAAATTAATAAAAAATGAATAACATTCAATTGGTGATCAACAATGAGGCCATTTGAAGCAAACATCAGACAAAGAAAACAGTAAAATTGAGCAGTTCAGAGAGATTTAGTTGGGGATCAAATGTATGTAGAAGACAACGAAACCAGAATAAAAAAAAAGTACATTGCTGGGAAAACTATTCCAAAGCCTAGGTTAACTACAGTAAATACATTACTGATGATTACCCAGGGACTTACTGTAAAGTGTATCTTTGAGAAAAGGACAGGAAGCATCAGGTGTTTATTTTTTTTTAATGATGATAGAATTTTTTTTTTGGAGTGGAGTTAAATAGCTTAGTGGTTAAGATGCTTGCCTTTTAATCCCAGGGTCCTGGGTTCAATACCTGTAACCTTTTCTCACGACTTAAAACAACTTCACTCCCTAAGCCTCAAAAAGAGACTAAAAAGCATCATTCCTGTAAGTGGCGCGTGTTCTTCTTGTTGGATGTGAAGGAAATAAAGCAAAAAAAAAAAATAATATTTTAAAATAAATAATATGGATAGGTTACTTCAAGTCTAAAGTTCTTCGATACAGATACAGCATCCCATATAACATAGTTACAGTAACAATCTACTATATAGGTACACTAATAATCTAGTCAATTAACATGTTTAGCCTTTGGAAATTCAATATCAATGGTTTGCGGCTATAGATACCAGTATTCATGAGGAGGTAAAAGGTTATGGGTACAGAATAAGTGTGTGCAAAGATTCATGTAACATGCCAGATGGTTGTACTGTACATTGAATTCTTCACAATTTAACGTATAATTTCCCCAAGGAGATGGAAATATTTGTACATGTCTGATAAGATACAGTACTTAATATGACACATTAATAATGGGGTTTTTTTTTACCAGCATAAGAATAATTCCATAAACACATATTATGCTATAGACTTAAACTATAGCATAAAATCACAACTAACTAAACCAGAGTTCCAATTGCAAACTGTCTGAGTAACTTTTTTTTAAATGGCCTTTTAATATTTAACAAAAATGTATGCTACTATAATCTATAGCCTACAGTACCCCTAAAATCGATCAGCATATTAAATGACCATTAACATTATTATTTTTTAAATATGGATAAATACAGGCTTAATGGGATACTTGTAAGCATATTGAAGTATATATCACTTTATTAAGAAACGAAACTCGTTTGTAACTTATTGTAGCCAAGGGTCAACTTGCATGTTACAATTTCAAGAGCACAGAATATAAAATTACAGTAAAAAAAATAATAATAACAATTACAGGTATTATTATTATTATTATTAAAAACATTAAAATGGATAAAAACCAGGTAATAAGACATGCAGAAACATAGGAAATACACCACTTCTGGAGGGTATCTCATTCATATATATACTTAATTGGGATTCATATGGTGTGCAAAGCAGGGGCGGATCCAGTAGGGGGCACGGGGCACATTTCCCCCGTTTTGCCACTAAATTAAAAAATTTCAAGGCATATATTGAAATTAGTGCTCTAACTTATCTATTCTGAATATGTTGTGCTCCCTGTTTGAAAAATTCTGGATCCACCCCTGCAAAGTAAGGTGTGGGGGCTGTTAGAAAGGTATAATATATATACAGAGTGGTTTGTTTTAGAAAAAGCTGTAAGGAATGTTTGTATATGGCATATTGACTTCACCTACCTGTATCCATTGTGTAAAACCAGGTCTTCAAATTGTCTGCAAGATTTATACAACATAATATTTTAACTAAAACATACTCATATCTCATCTATACAATTTTTACACTAACAAAAATGAGAAAAAAAATACCTTTATTAATTTGCTCTTGATACATGTCTCAATTAAAGACTACTGTATGTTTTGGGACCAGAAATTTTATAATCTTCAGAATGCTTTGGATTTTTATTAGAAAAATATACAGCTACAGAAAAATGGGTTTAAAGTGGAGACAACCTTAAATTTAAGTGTAAATAGTCTGTAGTTTGTAAATACTGGTATTGTTAATTTTGTTGTACTGTATGGAAGCCTTTACGCGAAATAAAATTGTTAATGAATGAATTTAGCAATAGAAATATATATATTTTCAGGTTCGATTTCCACCAAATCATTTGAGAATTTATTATTTCACACGTATTTGGGAACGTACTTGAGTATTCGGTATGATAACAAGTTAGGTACTGTAGGGCAAAATGTCCCTCCTATGATATTTTCCTGATGCAAACAAACATCGTAATATATATTTCTTAATTTGAATTTGCCATCATTCACAAATATTTATAGTAAGAATCAATTAAAATAATAGAGCAAGCTGTAGTGAATAGAAACTGATAAAAATTATTGTACTCACACTCAAACAAGGCCAGCTCATCTCAGCAAAAGTCATAATAAAATGTGGATTAGCCAGACTGCAAACCTATCAACCACTCAGACGACAGGACAGGCATCACTTCCTGTCAACTGCAACATAAGCCAATCAATAAACACCAGTTGTGTCATTACAGCGATATACAGTCTTAAAATCAAAATTTGACTTTTGTATTTGACCATGTATTAAGCATTATGAACACTGCATAATTAAAAGCCAATAGCAATTATTGAATATTCTAGTGTGAATGGTAACATGAACTTAGTATTATGTAACCTTTGTTTATAATGCTAATGATACTCATTGTTGTTATAATAGATTTCTGGTGGAAACCATTAGATGAAAACAATAATGTTGCACCTGCAGGGAAATGTTTCATATAAAACTTATGAATCCTGTAAGTGACAGGTTCGTACTCGCGGTTAGTGCGGACTTGCAATAAAATATTTTAAATATAAATTATATTATTATAGTTTTACTACTATTATAAATTATTATATTTTAATATTAAAATAATCTTAATATTATTCATATTATTATATTAATAATAAAAATTTAAACTTCCAACACAAGGAATTTTTATTTTTTAGAATGTAATGCATGGAAAGCTTCATAAAAGTAATAGCAATAACATGCATTGCGAACCTATAGTCCCCTGATATTCAACCCCTGGCCCACAGGCCAACTCTGGCCTGCCAAAGGTTTGAATCCGGCCCACGCGACTGCTAAAAAAAAAAATAATAATTTTTCAGCGGATTTTTGTTACTTAGAATTTTTTTTCCTGTTAATATAACAGGACCACTTACTTTGGCATTGTTAACTAAGATTCTGGCTTTTTCTGAGTTTAGCTCACTGTTCTGGAGTAGAGTATTGACATGGGGAAGGTGGACTAATGAGGAATAAATTATTAAGACAGGGAACGGTGATATGATGATTTTTTTAACTATTGGCGGCAACAAAGGTCAGTGGCTGATAAAGGGAGCAGGCTTGGGGAATGTCATTCTGTTATAAACACTGTTTTGAAAATGTATTTTAACAGTCTGAGAGTGCTCAAAATTGCAGATTGGCCCACTTTCAAATTTTGTCCGTTCGTTCTGAAAATACAGTAGGCGTCGATCGTCATGGGATCGATCGTTTTTGGGCCCGTTTGTCTGTAATTTGAAGTGTATTTTTAAACAAACGGGAGAGGATGAAGACTTTCAACAACTGTAGGCCTAACTACGGAAGTTTCATAATACTTGAGGAGTCTTGTAAAATATTTTATGTGTGCGAGGTATACATAAAAAACAAACTGAAACTTGCAAGAAAATAGCATTAAACTACAGCAGCATGCACAGTGTCATAAATTACTATTCTAGTTAGACATACAAGCCTAGAAACTGAATTTTCTGGAATATTTGTACTTAATTAAAGTCCCATTCCTGGCAAAAATTCATAAGAAAAATCTGATTTTTATTTAGAAAGATTTATAATACAAAATTGCTTGTTTAACTAAATGTGTAAATTTAGTTAAACAAGCAATTTAGTTAAACAAAATTGCTTGTTTAACTAAATTTACACATTCCTAAACATCAAAAAATGCAAACGGAAACATTAACATAGCAACACTGCTGGGTTAAGACTAGCTTTACCTCGAATTAGGTTGTGCTATCTGACATACAAAAATGGCCGACATGATATTTTCCATTGCTAGTGTTGACACTTGTGAAGCATATTATTTTATTGGAATCATTTCGAACTTGTTAAAAAATGATTCTGACCACGATTTTGACAATTAAACCAACTTATCTCTTGCCGACTCGATCGGCTGCAGTGTACAGTACGAGATGTCAGGTGCAAAAACTAATCTCATTAAAGAGGGTGCACTTTACTTACTGCTCACGATCGTAAATCAGATTAATTAATGCTTCTATTTAATTAATTGTGGGATGAATTAAAATGTGGGGGTGGGGTGGGGGGTGCGGGTTCATGAAACAATTACCAGGGAACAGTAACATACTGTACCTCGACTGATAATATACACAAAAAGCAGTAGGCGAGAGCATTCCAGCGGATGTATTCTACAACAACCTCTAAATTTCAGTGCCTAACTAGTAGCAAAGAATATAAAACTGCAAGAGGTCCGACTGCCCTTATTTTGTATACAGACAGTAGAATGTTAAAAAGTACTCCCGCAAAAGGGGCATGTCCTTCATAAGAACGTAAAAAGCGTTCATATCGAACGCGTGCTGCATTTCGAATTCCAGCATACATTCTATAGACGCGCGGCACGTGTTCGATATGAACGCACATTATGTTCTTTTAAAGGCCACGCCCCTTTTGGGTAGTACTTTTTGAATTAGGATTGCGTTCCAAAGAATCCCCGGCAGTCGGACCTCCTGCAGTTTTATACTCTTTGCTAGTAGTATCAAAGAAGTCTTCAAGAAAATGGTAATCTCCCAAGACTCAAGAGATTTAATAGCCTCTTCTTCTTAAGTTATATTTTGTTCTCCTTCAGCATAAAACTAAAATTTATGCCAATATTTTTTCATGGTTTTGTGCATCTTTTTCGGAAATTTTTTTTTATAGTGAAATTTTGCCTGGAATGGGGCTTTAATTCTAGGCTAGGCTTAGTAGAATGGTTTATTATTACTAGGCTAGGCCCTAGCCCTTGCCAACATTTTTGCATGGCCTAAGATTTTAGTATAGGCCTAGGTAGGTAGGCCTAGGCCTAGCCCTAGGCTGGTCGCCTTGCACTACACGGGCGGCTAGGCCTAGGCCTAGGCCTAGGTACTTGTTACTTACTTACTTGTTTTAAAGTAAAGGTCCTTGACATAGGCTTAGTAACAACACAGGAATAAAAAACAAAAACAAAAACGTACAGTTTTTCTTAAGACGACGGTATCATTTCAACGCTCTATATTATGAAACCTTTTCGTAGTTTATTTGTTTACTCGTTAATCACACGACAGGTAGCCAGCCGGCCTGCGATTTTTTTTCCGTACGAAACCTTTACATGAAACTCCACTCGGCCGGCCGCGATTTTTTTTCCCGTACGAAACATTTGCATGAAACTTCACTCGGGCCATCTCGGATTGACTCGAGTGAGTACGATACGAGGAACAAGATCAGACACTTCGCAATTTCATGACGCTCGAGTTTTACTATTACTGTATTGCTCTTTCTATGTTTACCTACGGTAGGCCTATGAAATCTCACGGACTTATGGGATGTTGTACGTTGTACGTGTGTAACTAACTGTGACCTTGGATGTTATTAAATGTTAGTATATTATCTACAACAACAACAGCTAGTACCTACGGAAGCACCTAAGTGCCATTCGACTTGACGACTTGTCAAGATAATTATGTTGTCAAGTCGACATAATATACATATCATGTCGACATGGCGAGATAGATTGTCTTGACAAGTCGACATACTAAAAATGTTTTGTTGTCATGACGAGATAGGTTATCTTGACAAATCGACATAATAAAAGTTGTATGTTGTCATGGTGAGATAAATTATCTTGACAAGTCGCCATAGTAAAAATGTTATGTTGTCATGACAAGATACAATTTGTATTATGTCGACTTGTCAAGATAATCTATCTCGCCATGACAACATACAACTTTTACTATGTCGACTTGCCAAGATAATCTATCTCGCCATGACAACATACAATATGGA